GCTCCCATGACTCCAGCCCCTCACTAGGGTGTAGACTGAGGGACTGCATGCCACCCAGTATTGGAAAGGAGCAACCTCATTTGGTCCCAAGAGTACCCCAGAACCCCACGCCACCATGGCATCAATCATATCAAAACAAGGTCTAGGGAGACCACACTACAGCACAATATAGCATCCAATCAAAGCCAAGAAAGTCTACCAAACTGACAGCTTCAGAAGAAGTCTTTTGCTATGAAAGCCATCTTTTAAAAGCAGTGGAGCCAACTGGCCCACCAGATGAGTAGATAACTATGTAGGGGCAGAAGGTGTACAAAAAAAGCAAGGCAATGGGATGGTCCCCAAGGAACAAAATATTGTTTTGGTAAGACTCCAACAAGACAGATATTGAGAAAATGCTTGATAAAGAATTCAAAAGACTAATTGTAAGGATACTCAAAGAGACACAAGATAACAGATGGACAGTTGAATGAAGTCAGAAAAATAATACATGACATAAATGTGAAGTTCAGCCAAGTGATAAAGATACTGAAGAAGAACCAGATATAAATCTTGGAAATGGAGAAATCAATGAGTCAAATGGAAAATGCAATAGAAAGTCTCAATAATATACTAGAGTAAGCAGAACTGAAAGAGTATCTGAACTTGGAGACAGATATTTTGAAAGATCTCAATCAGACCAAAAAAAAAAAAAAAAAAAAAAAAAAAGAAAGAAAGAAAAAAAAGAGTTAAGATAGCACCTGAGATCTCTTGGATATTTTTAGGTGAAGAAAATTGAAATTTTGGGAATTCATGAAGAAGAGAAGAGGCATAGACATCCCATTCAATGGAATAATAGCTGAGAACCTCCCCAGTCTGGGCAAAGATGTGGACAGTCAAGTACAGGAACCAACAGGACACCAAGCAGGCCAGAAAAGATCCTCCACATACAGCCAGGCTGTCAGAAGTCCAACTCAGAAAATTCTAAAATCTGCAAGAGAAAAGTACCACGGGACTCTTTAGAGAACCCTCATTTAACTAATAGCAGATTTTACACCAGAAGTCTTACATGTCAAAAGATGAAATGATATAATCCAAGTTCTTAAAGAAGAAAGAAAAACTGCCAGCCAAGAACCCTATAAGTAGCAAAGCTACCCTTAATAAATACTTTCCAAGACAAGCAAAAACCAAGGGAATTCCTCAGCACCTTCTGCCTTATAAAACATGTTTAATCTTAACGCAGAAGCAAAGAAAGATAACTACCATTATGAAAGCATGTGAAACAATGAAGCCCACTAGATAGAGAAAGATTTCAAGTGACCAGGATAAAAGACTACTTATCAATAATAATACCGAATGTAAAGTGGATTAAATATTCCCAATTAAACAATATAAAATGGCTGAATGGATTAAAAAAATCATGTACTGCTCACTTCCCCAGTCAGACACATATAACCTGAAAATGAAGGCATGGAAAAAGATACACCGTGCCAAAAGTGAGCAAAGTAGCTATTCTAATATCAGACAAAATACAAAAAAAGAACACAAAAACGATAAAAAGAGGTAAAGGCCACTAAATTATGATCAAGGGATCATCTCAACAAGAGGACATAATGGCACTCACTGAAATAATGTATCATATCTATCAGTTGGAGAATATATTATAGAAATTTAATACCATATATCAGAAACAAATATTTTATAGTGCTCAGAAAATATAATGATGCTCTTAACTCTGTATTTTTTTCTTTAAAATGATTATAACTTTGCTTTTAAACTTTCTCATGAAATTGTTGGGAAATTGCATACTTAATAAAGTACATTAGCCCCAAATAAAAGATAATGATTGTAATGCACACACAACTAACGCTGGAACACTCAATTTTGATCTCAAGAGAGAGATAGTCCGCAGTACAATAGTAGTGGGGAACTTCAATATCCGTGTTCACAGATCATCCAGACAAAATGCCAATGAAGAAACATCAGGTAAAATGGGCTCTAATGGACTCGACAGATATGTACAGACTATTTCCCCACACAGCTGCTGAATGCATACCCTTTCATCAGTATATTGTGCATTTTCTAGTATGTATCATAAATTAGGCTAAAACAAGTCTCAACAGATGCAAAGACACTGAAGTCATATACCGTATTTCCTCCAATGACAATGGAATAAAATCAGAAATCACAGAAATACTGGGAGTAACAAAAATACATGAAGACAAGCATCATACTTCTCAATGAACAACGGGTCACCGAAGAATTAATGGGGGAAATTTTTTAAAGTCCTTGAAACAAACGAAAATGAGAACTCAGCACACCAAAACTTACAGGATATAATAAGAGCAGAACTACTAACAAGAAAGTTGATGGCAGTACACATTGACATAAATAAATCAAAGACCTCAAACGAACAACTTAATGAAGTAACTCCAGGAAACTGAAAAGCAAGAATAAACCAAACTCCAAATCAGTACATGGAAAGAAATAGAAAAATCAGAGCAGAAATAAATGAAATAAAGGCTATGCAAACAAAAATATTAATGAAACAAAGAGCTCTTTTTAAGACAGACAAAAATCAGCAAACCTTTGGCTAGATTAAAGAACCAAAACAGAAAGAAGGCTCAGTTGAATAAAATCAGATATGAAAAACAATGTGTTACAACTGATACCACAGAAACACAGATTATTTGAACTATTGTAAGCAAGTATATAACAACAAGTTGGAAAACCTGGAAGAAATGGAAAATTTTCTGGAGTATATAACCTACTAAAGTTGAGCCTTGAAGAAAAAAAGAAACCTGAACAAACCAAAAATGAGTAACGAGACTGATTTAGTAACAAAAAGTATCTCGGGGCAGTGCTGTGGTGTAGTAGTCTAAGCCTCCACCTGTGGCTGGGGCATCCCATATGGGCACCAGTTCTAATCCCAGATGCTCCTCTTCTGATCCAGCTCCCTGCTAATGCTCCTGGGAAAGCAGCAGAAGATGGCCCAAGTCCTTGGGCCCCTGTACCCATATGGGAGGTCCAGAAGAAGCTCCTGGCTCCTGACTTCAGACAGGCACATCTTGGGCTGTTGCAGCCATTTGGAGAGTGAACCAGTGGAGGGAAGACCTCTCTCTCTGTCTCTCCCTCTCTCTGACTGTAACTCTACATCTCAAATAACTAAATAAAATCTCAAAAAAAAAATGCATCCAACAATTGAAGTTGACTTCAATGCTGAGCTCTATCAAACTTTTTTTTAAAAGATTTATTGCTTTATTTGAAAGAGTGACAGAGGAAGAGACAGAGAGAAAGAAATCTTCCATCTGCTAATTCACTCCCCAAAGGGCTGTAATAGCCAGGACTTGTTTATGTTGAAGCTAGAAGCCTTGAACTCCATCCGTGTCTCCCATGTGGATGCAGGGGCCCAGGGACTTGGGCCATTCTCTGCTGCTTTCCGAGGCACATTAGCAGGAAGCTGGATCCAAAGTGGAGCAGCCGGGACTTCAGCTGGCATTCCAATAGTGGACATTGGGATTTCAAATGGTGATTTAACCTATTGCACCACAATGCCAGCACCTTATAATCCACTTTTAAGGAATATATAACACAAATTATTCCAACACTATTCCAAAAAATTAAGAGAGGAAACCCTATCAAAGTAATCACATGAGGCAGTATTACCATAAGACCAAACTAAAGGCATAACAAAGAAGAGTAAACATAAGCATAAAGATTATTAAAAAAATAGAATCCAACATCACGTCAAAAAGATCACCCATCATGATCAAGTGGATTTTATCCCAAAGACACATAGACAGATCTACACATATAAATCAATAAATGTAATACATCACACCACCAGTGGAATCAAAGATAAAAATTACATAACCAGCTTAATATGTGCAGAGAAAGCATTTGACAAAACTTGACATTAATTCATTATTAAAACTCTAAGCATATTAGGCATAGCAGGTTCATACCTCACCACAATAAAGTGGTGAAGTGGTGATAAACACACAGCCCATCTCATATTGAATGAGGAAAGGCTTAAAGTATTTCCTTTAAGATATGAAACTAGACAAGTATGTCAATTCTCATCACTCTTATCCAACACTGTATTGAATGTCTTAGGCAATTAAGAAAGAAAAATTGGAGCTGGTGCTGTGGTGCAGCGGGTTAAGCTGCTGCCTGCGATGCCAGCGTCCCTTGTTGGTACCCCTTTAAGTCCCAGGTGCTCCCTTTCCAATCCTGCTCTCTGCTAATGCTTGTGGAAGGCAGTGAAAGATGACCCAAGTCCTTGGGCCCCTACAACCACAGGGGACCTGGGTGAAGCTCCTGGCTCCTGGCGTCTGCCTGGCCCAGTCCCAGCCACTGTGGCCATTTGGAGAGTGAACCAGCAGATGGAAGATGTGTGTGTGTGTGTGTGTGTGTGTGTCTCCTTCTCTCTGTAACCGCCTTTCAAATAAATAAATCTTTAAAGAAGGCAAGAAAAGTTATACAGATAGGAATAGAGAAAGATAAATTATCACTGTTTGCAGATGACATGATTCTATATATAGACATCCCTAAAGACTCAGAAAGATAGTGGGGATGCTAATTGCCTGATGTGATCACTCTATGCTGTGTGCATGTATTGAAATGTTGCTCAATGTCCCATAGAGGTGTACAAGTATTACCTGTCAATCCAAATTTTTGAAAAATAAAGAAAACAACAACAACAAAATGCTAATGTTAAAAGAAAGCAAGTTTTGGAATAGATGGAACATTTAAAATACCAGGAACTTAAAACAATACCAAGGGAAAACAACAATTAGAATATAATTACCTGAGAAAGTACATTATTGGAACAAAGATAAAAAAAAAAAAAACACTATGCTCTTATTATGGAAATGTACTGAAAAATTCTGGTTCTACAGCAAAATGACAACCAGAAAGGGGATCTGGCCAGAATAAATGATAGATCTCTTCTCTGTTGAGGACCACAGAAAACGTCCTGAATTCAGGTTTTCATGCCCACCTCCCAACCAAGCCCCACCCACCTTGCACGATGAGGTGGACCCTCGAGGTCTTTGGGTGGTTGTCTGTCTGCACAGAGCAGGTGTAGGGGCCTTCGTCATACACGTCCACGTTCTGGATCTCGATGCTGTACTGGGTCTGGGTGTTGCTCAGTAGAACCACACGAGGGTCCAGGCACCACTTGTCATTCCCAGCATAGAGGATGGTGCTGCGGTTCAGCCAGGCCACCCGGGTGACCCGGTTGTCAATTGTGCACCTGAGGAGAAGACCAGACAGAGAAGTCAAAGGGGGAGAGAGAAAACAGCAGGCATCAGAGCGGAGTCTTCACGGCAAGGCTGAGATAAGTGGCCGTGCCTGGTCTCTCCCCCTTAGCCTCAGGAGACACCCATTTCCTCGGCTGATTTGCCACAGGTGGAACTTTTCGGAAGTCAGCAGCACAGACCTGATGGGCTCACAGCCTCAGAGTACGGGCTGTCCCAGACATCTGTGTGCAGGCACCTGAGCACAGAGCCACTTCAGGTAACTTTCCAGTTAGAACCTGGAGACCTCTGTGCCGGAGTTCTTCCAGCATTGCTGGCTCTCGCTTTGCTCGAAGAGTTCCATGATGTGGTGATGATAACCACTCACATCACTGTCTAGGTGATTTGGCTGTACTAAGTGGTTCGATACTTACAACAACCCTATGAAGAATTGGAGAAAGAAGAAAACAGAGAAACTAAACAATTGTTCAAGTCACACAGTTAATAAGTACTGGAGCAGAGACTCAGCTTTTAACTAATAAACATCATTCCTCTCATCTCCAAATAACAAATCCCAACAGAAGCCTCCTAAAGTCAGGACTAAATATGGATCACCACAACTGCTGTTCATCTTCACTGTAATTCGGGGCAGAAATATTCAATTACTATGAGACTAAAGGCATTTTCCAAAACCCCAAAACTGTTTGCACATACAAAAATAGATTTCCTTTCTTTCAGTTTTGCATCTGGAGTCCTCAGATTGTGGAAGTTTCTTTTTCTTTCCCACACTTTGAAATTTCACAGTGACTCTCACCAAGGACTCATTGTATCTGTCTGTACTCATTTCCCTCTCTAGTTACACCACGTATGTTCTATGGCCTTAGGCTAAATTCACAAACACAGTGCCCTGATCTTAACTACAATGATGGAAATAGCAGTGTTAGCATGGTCGATATAATGATGCCTCACATTTACACCTGCTTCTGCAGTGTACAAAGCATTTTACATTCACACTGTCTCATATGATTCCTGCAACAGTTCTTGGAATAGTCGCTCTTCCCCATTTTCTACCTTAATGGCCAGAGCTCTAAGGTTCTCAGTGGTCTGGGGAGTTGTCCAAGAGAGTTGTTAAGACAGTGAGTCAGACTCCTCAGTCCTGTGTGGACCTCAGAATGTACGAATGTGCATTTCTCATCAGTGATGATGATTTCTATTGAGTTCTCAAGATGGTTTGTGACCATCTAAAATTCTAAAAACTGCTGCTGAACACACCAGCTTCCCCAGGTGGTCCATCTGCAGACAGGAAACCCTGGGCAGTGCCTCCTTTCTGCTTGGCTTGTGTAAATATCAACCACCACCATGGGGTCACTCAGGCGCAGGTGGATACCTGCTGAGAGCACCTGTGGGGAATGGACCAATCCTTTGCTCTGGTGTCCTGCAAGCTCTGTGCTGCTAGTGCACCTTTGGGCAATGCCGGGTCTCTCTGGATTACTGTGATACACCACAGGGAAATGACAAGACACCTAACTAGAAACAGCTCAGGGGGTTGTTTTATGAAGGGAGCAAAAACCGCTTACATCAGAATTGCATGATAGCTTTGTTACAATGTCATGGTTCCTCATCCCTTGTCCTATGCACTCAGAATCTTTGGAAACCCAGAAACAGGAATTTATAACAGTACATCCATCAGGGCATAGCCACACTACAGCTGGAAGGTCACTACTCATAGAAGAGTATAGGCAAAAGCACCACATAACTTTGTGAGGCCTGGGGCAAAATGAAAATGCAGAGTCTTTGTTCAAGAATTAGTAAGAATTTCATGATGGTGAGAGCAGGGCATTAAACCAAGGGTAGGGTCCTGTGCGAACAAACATCAGGGCAGTCGAAACACTTTTGTGCTTATAAATCACCTCTGGCTCTCATTCAAATGCAGACTCCAGTAGGGTAGGTCTGGGGTGGGGTTTGACATTCTGCACTTTTAGTAAGCTCCCATGTGGTACAGTTGCTGAAGGCCCCTGGACCATTCCTTGAGTCCATCTGTCTAGAGGTGAATCCTGTGTGTATTGAGGTTTGAGAAGCACTGAGCTAGCATCTTACTAGGCAGGAGTGATCAGCAAGTTAGCAGCATGAGTATCACCCGGGATCTCCTGAGAAACGGAGGCTCTAAAGCCCATCTCAGAGGCACTGGACTAGAATCTGTACTTTCATAAGCTCTCCAGGTGACATGAATGCACACGAAGTTCCCACTGGTCCACAGTGTACTCCAAGCTTTCACGTGGGTTTCAAAGACAGCACCCAGAATATACTCTGAGAGTGTGAGTGAGAGGGGGAGAAGTATGGCCAACACAAGGGAGCACCATCACCGTACCTGCCCTTATAGTCCTCAAGGCCTGATGGCACTCATCTAGGGCCAGCTCACCTGGAACATATCTGGAGCTGCATTGGCTTAAAAGTCTCTCCATACAAAGACAACACCCTCCGCAGCTTGCTTTGCTAAGAATATACTTAGGACACTGTTGACATTAGTAACCTTAGAAGCAGTCATGCTCTGACCTTCACTTTGGGTTTGTGCAGAAAACCAGGAAATACACGGTCATGGATAAGGTTTCCTGAACATACATTACTCTATGGTAGGCGTGGTACAGTCCTGTTATTTGGACTGTTTGATCATGAACCTCTCAAAACCTTGATTGAGTTCACATACTACTGCCGAGATCATCTCAGGCTAAGACACATTATCTACACCGAGTAAGATCACACTGATAGTAAACCCAAGAGTCAGGATTCAACCCACTTCCTGTTTTGTTTTTCAAGTTAGACATCCTTTGTTGTGTGGGATCTCCCAGCAGAACATCCAAGTGCTTCTCAGATTCAGTGGGCGTCAGAATCGCCTAGAGGTCCCAAGAAAATGGGGATCCCTGGGGGTCTCCACCAGGTCTGGAGTTGGGGCTGACAGTGCTCGTTTCTGGTAAACCAAAAAGCTCATAGAAAATGTATAATATGGAAATTCCATCTGTAGATTTAAAAAAATGGACCAGAATAAACTTATCCTTTAATTTCATTTTCCATTAACTTTTTGAAGTCTTCCTATATTCCCAAGTGATATGGAGGCTGCTGGTCTGGACACCACCGCCCTTTCTAAATAATTTTCACCTCTGATTTCTGGTGGAATGAGAGCAGCCAAGTGAATGAGCAGCAGGACATGATTCCAGTCTGAAATAGCTTCCCACTCCTGCCCAGGGAACAACTTTCTTGTAACCAATATGTTCTGGGAAGGCAGAAGCAGAGTCTGAGCAATTGTTTAACTCCAGCAGCTGAAATGTGCCTGGATTCCAGGTGAGTGGCATTGGCACAGGACACGCCGACCAGCAGACACTAAACTGCTTGAGTAATTGTTGATACCCACAACGGGGGCAGCTCACAATCTCAGGAATATCACAGACCTGTCCTGGGCGTCCTTGTGAGCGCCCTATTATGGAAAATTGACTGCAATGGAAGTCATCTCACCACACTCTTCCACGTTACAGAGCCAGAGAGGTTCATCTGCAGATACACTGACGCGCCGAACGCAGCCAATTTCCAGCACTGGGATGCAGCTCCCGTGATAGACTACGCTGGAAAGTTGGCGTAGCTTTCAGCAGTGGTTTTGGGTACATCCAAGGTCACACTCGGGTGTCCAAGCTGTCACTGCTGGACATCCGTCTTGCTGGGTCTCCACAGAATTAACGCTGGCTTCTGTGCAGATGGATCATAAGAGTAGTTCAACAGCCAACTCCTGTCACTGCCGCGTACCTGCCCCCATCTATCTGTCTCACTTACCCAGTCTGCACAGCAGCGTTGGGAGACATTTCTCCCAGAGAGAGAGAGAGAAAAAAAGGGAGGGACGGAGTAAGGAGGGAGGGAGGGAGGAAGGAAGGAGGGAGGGAGGAAAGGAAGGGAGGGAGGGAGGGAGGGAGGAAGGAAGGAAGGAAGGGAGGGAGGGAGGGAGGGAGGGAAGCAAAGCATAATTGTTCTCCCAGCCAGAGTGAATGCTTTGGTTGGGGAGAGAAGGTCGAGGTTTGGAGGTGGGAAACATGGTGAAGAGACTCCCTGTTTTCATCTTGAACATAATTCTTCAACACAATTACTCCTAAATCATACCATGGTATTTCACCTCCCTTTTGAAATTTTGAAGTCCACGAATACAGGTATCTTCAAAAAAGTTCATAGAAAATGTACACTATGAAAAAACTACACTTTCAAAAATTTTCTCATCAAAATAAACATCTTTCAATTGTGTTTTCCATGAACTCTTCAGCATACTCTTGGAAACAATTAACTAGGAATGAGTGTGGTTTCCAAATCACCTATCTCTGACTTAATACAGGTAAACACAGGTGGAGATGGTGCTGATCAGAGATTGAGAAAACAGAGGTCAGCAGGGTGCAGGCCAGGAAGAAAAATGGCAGACAGATGGGTGAAAATCCCCAGACCAAACATTACAAGGCTCTCCTCTTCGCCTCTACAATGTTGAGACACACCACCTTCCCACCTCCAACATCCTCTCAGCCCACCCTTCCCACACACAAAGAACAGAGGAACAACATTCATGGATCCAAGGATTCCAGTCTGGCCCTTCAGTCCCAACTGCTCTGGACTTGAAGAGCATCCCAGCTTCAGTGTCTGCTTCCACTTACTTCCATACCCCAGGGCCCTCCAGCTGGTGGTCGTCAGCCTTTGCATTTCTCGGACGGACTTTCTCATTACCTCCATTCCTGCAGTAGCCTTTCTCTCCTCCGTGTGGCTCCCTTACGCAGCCAAGGCTGAAATCCAGTGTCCTGGCAGAATCCAGACCCAGATTCCAGGAGGCAGATTTGCTTGCCATTTCAGTGCGGAGCTACTAGGATCTTCTTACTTAATGTGTGTCTGAATGTACTCTGTTTCTGCAGAAGTCCCTTCTTATATAGAATGGAGCTAATATTGAGGGTGCCCTGCCTACTTTGAAGTCAATACATTCTCTTAGAAGATGAGTGGTTGG